AATACTATATCCTAAATATTTGTTCTCATTTTCCTGCCCTCAGGATTTAATTAATTATTTATATTAGAATCAAAGATCATGTCGCACTATGTATGTGAGGAAGCAAAATAGGGTTTTACTATTTATTTTAAAACAAACCGGATTAAAATGAATACATTTTAAGCTTTCCTCTGCATCGTAAAAAGGCAATTAGCACAACAAGCCTGGTTGTCATTCCTTACTGTGAATAACAGCCTGTGATCCCTGGAGAATGTAGTAACTTACCTTTAATGCTTAATTCATACTTCTCAGCCCATTTCATGTCCGCTTCATTGAGAATCCGGTGTGATGAGAATTTTGTTATTATTACCTGCCATCTATGGTCCACTAGGACTCTCTGCAGATGTTTGGATGCAGCCAGATTTCTGTGACTGTGCTGACAGTGTGCGCCAACAGAGACAATAGTCCTCTCTCTCAGAGTATGGTGCCAAACACGTGGAAGACAATGAAAATGACACGTCATAATATAAGAAGCATATAAACAGCAGTGCTAGTATTTAAAACAAAATAAAAGAAAAAGAAAAAAAACAGTAAGGAATGTTTTTTTTTATCCTCTATAGATAATATAACGTTCATTATGAGGACACAAAAGTTGCATTAATTTTCTTATCTACGTCTTTCGGATCTTCATACACAACATTGCTGTATATAAGCCAGTACGTTCTTACCTCCTAAAGGATTGTTGTGAAAGCTGTGTGTCTTTAATTGGCCGGTGGTTCTTCAGCTGAGCTAAAAATAGTGCAAATAGGGTCGCTTGTCTATGAGGTCCAACCAGCTCATGTTCACAGCGACTGGAAGGTATGTGAAGGCCTTAAATCTGACATTTACAAAAGGTTGTCAACATATCCTAATCCGGTACGTTTTATAACAGAAGTTGAAAGCTCAGAAGAATGAAACAGAGCAATTTTGTTTTGCTCCGTTCAGTCTCCAAGTTGGCTGCTGAAGTCAGTCCCCAAAGCTGTGAGAAAGACAAAGCCGCACAATGGCAAACAGATTCCAAGGTGAATCTGATTCATTGACCAACACAGAAAATACAACTACCTTTAGAGTAGCTTGGTGGACACGTCCTACTTTCTTTGACTTGATTCTTAAAGCCTGATAATACATCTCTGTTTTTGCTAACTGTTTTTGCTGTTGATGCTATGTAAAACATACATATGCTCATCGTTGCATTGCATTTTTTCTGTACACATCCAAATCACTAATCAGAGAAAGTATGACAAAGTAAAACACAGCATTTAACAAAGCAAATACTTGCAGACTGAAACGAGTTAATGACAAGTCGACCTGGAGATGTCCTACGACGGACGCAGTTGCACCAAGAGCCTAATTGGTTCTGTGCACAATTGAGCAAAAACAGATGTTTGTCATTTCATCAAGCAGTCTTCTGTGTCCTTAAAGAACGTATCGGAGGTTAGAAAAATGTAAGCTGACACTCTTGAACAAGTATATGACCAGATGGGATTTTCATAACGCCCCTCACCCCCTGCCTCATTTCACTAATGGATTTGTGGTGTTCCAGAAAATCATGCACTTTATTGATTTTTTATTTTATTTTTTTTTATGTAAGCATGCTTTATATTTTTATTCTCTTTTATGAGCTTTCACTCACTTTACTTTAAGCCTTTTACTTTGTATCCAATCATGATTGTCCAATCTAACGAAAAGAGAGTATCTTTTAAAGCGATTCTTTGAATCCAACCTTATTTTATGAATCAAGTTCATTTTCTGGCCTCCTTAATCTTTTTATTCACATTTACACAAGATACTTAACATCTAGATGGAAACCACTGACATCCATAAACACATCTTCTCATGGAATGGGAAATGATGGGGACTGATATAAGTAGATAAAGGGGACAGACGATGGAATGGCTCTTCTATACCTCATTTACCAGCAAACCGCTTAGCAAAGCCATTGGCATTTCCGGGGTCAAGGGAGCTAAATGAATGTTCTTCATATCCTATGGTGACTCGTAAAAAGGCAAAAGTGACACACACATACACACACGCGCGCGCGATCACGCAAACGTTGTTACTCAGTCAGCGTGATTTATACCGGGACCTCGGGTGACAGTCATGGGCCGTTGACTCTGTCACAGCAGAACAAGAGAGAAATAACTTAATGGATGTGGATATTGAGTAACAGACATTAATGCAGAAGGCCAGAATAACAGGAAGCGAGCCTTGACCTCTACGGCAAGAGCAGAGAAGACAGAAGGCAAATGGGCACAGATGATCCTCAGTCTTGATTTACAGCAAGAACTGCTGCTCACAGTACTAAACCACAGCCCAACAGCTGGTGCGACCTTTCCCAACCCTAACCTTCTAAGTGGTAGAAAATATGTGTTTAAATTAAACAATAAATAAACTCCGTATAAAGGAGGGAATGATTTATTGAGCGAGACGGAGAAAACCCCATCAATGATGTGAAATATCCCATTTTAAAGCACTTCTTTTTTTAATAGTAACATAAGTCAAATGATCAGGGTCTGTGTCTAATTAAGGTCCCCAGACAGTTTTTCACAGTGCATCTCTAGTTGCTATACATCAACAACTTGTAGTTATGTTAAAATTTGTTTTTACACAGGATTATTCTTAGAAAAGGGATTTTTCGGTTGCATCCCTTGTTTTATTTTTTGATGACAGTTTTTTTTTTTTTTTTTCTGAAAAAATGCCCTCATGCACAATTTTTATACCATTCAACAAAGTAAAAATATCTGCACTAAAATACCCAGTACCATAAAGGAAGGATGACTGACTAATAGAGGTTTAAAGGGGGTCAGAAAATGCAGAACTGAAAGTAAATCTTCTAATATTTTAGAAGAAGGATTTGGAAATCTATAGAAACTTGGAGTCTTTTATTCCTCTTACTCTGAAACATTGTAGTATTTAAATTGAGCTCTGACCTCAATTTAAATAGCGAGTCCATATCGCTTGGAAAGAACATTGCGTTTCTTGACAAGGAGAGATGTTTGTCGAATAATCGTCAAAGCATGTCATTTTGTTGATGATAAGTCAAATGATTAAGCAATTAACCTGTTTGAGTTACTATGGGAAACATTTTCTTATGTGACTCATTTTGGGCCCCTCCTTTTGTTTATTGCTTTCTGTCCCAATTTGTCTCAATCTACCTCCTGTTGATACTGATGCTATTGCCTCAGCCAAGTCTTCTCATTAGCGTTTTCTAAATAAGGGGCATCCGGTTTAAGTTCCAATCTTTACAAGTTGCCGTTAACAGAGCTTTTTCTCCACGTCCCCTCTCCCTGATGGATGGTGTCCCTCTGGGTTAACAGTCCAAATATATCATAGGAGCCAGTGATGCGGTCTGTCATGCAGCATTTCCTACTAAACTAGCTATTGTGGTGTAGAATTTCAACAACAGAGTCACTGGGGCGTGCTACAGTCGGATATACCTGGACGTTCATTTAATTTTGAAATGCTGTGCCTAGCAAAATTAGTAATACCCCTTGCAATTTTTCCAGACGTTTTCAGGATATAATTACCAACACCAATGTATTTTATTTCTATCTTGTGTTACGGCCCAACACAGAAATGTTCTAACTTTTTTTAGTAAATGGGAAAAAAAAAGGAAATTGCATACTACATCAATATCAAATATCACATTTCAACCCCCTTGTGTGCAATTATAGCTGCATGGCGTTTGAGCTCGTGCACATCTCAGCTTTCCACATTCAAAGACTAAACTTTTTTGCCGTCAATAGTTTTTCTTTTTTTATACCTTTTACCACATATCTTTCTAAAACTGCCCTCATTTAGCCCCATCCATCTTCCTACCCCCTGCTGTAGAAAAGCATTCCCACAGTCGGATTCTTCCAGAATGGGGACGCTGTGTTCAAATAATTTGAAGTTTTACCTCACAGATGACATTTTGCAGATGAGCCAAAAAAAAAATAAAAATAAATAAAAATAATTCCTCTTCTCAACAGAGAATCTTCGTCCAAACATTTGCTTTTCTTTTTCTCTTTGGTAGAAATTCATGTCTTGATTAATTTCCGGTTGTGTCTTATTCTCTGATCTGTTTTTGGATGGTGGATTAAACTAAGCTCTGTTCAGGGCTTGGATATTGCTTTGTGGCTTTCATTGCACGCAAGTGATCTCTAGTTATTAAATATGTGACTTCTAAAGACACCTCGTTGTACTGTTTTTGATTTAGGTGACATGAAAATGAACCACACATTTCAGATTTTAATGCTATTCCTACAATCTCTGGTTAGGAACAGAAGCAGGACAAGGCAGCGTGGTAGAGTTGATTCATTTGGATAAAAAATAAATACTTTACTCTTTTACACCAAACTCTGAAAAGAAAAATAGTTTGCCTGAGATTTTGTCCCCGACAACCTCGGACAGGTTGGAGCACACTCACACACTCGCTCTAATTTAACACAATAGAATAGACACACGCACGCACACATCGCCCAGGTCAAACGGCAAGCATTTATAACCAACCTCACCCATGACCGCACAGCCTCGGCCCGATTAATTCAGCCTCCAGAGACATGGATCCTCAGGTCAAACAGCAGCCTCGTAGCAGTGAGCCAAGTGAGCAGTCTTGATGGATGACTGCGGCTCAGAGTCCTGACGTGTCTGATAAACGTGGAGCGGCTGATATGTTTTTAAACAATGTAGTCCTACCCACACATTTAACATCCATACGCTGAAACCAGGGAAAAGCTTTCAGGATGATTAATAACAATTTTAGCTCTTTCCAGGCAGGGGATCTGTAATACAGAGGGGCTGATCTATCTGTTAAATGATAGCTTTCTGGCTTTCATACGCACAGGTTTTCATTCAGCCGGTATGCCAAAATGTGACAGCACTGTTGTAGATGGAGTGAAAATCTTGACAAGAGAATACAATGAGTTCTATGCTTATGCGGGAGACAAAAAAATAATAATACTGCTGACACTGCATGATCATTTACATCTGATTTCTTTCAGCATCAATTCAGACATGCCAACCGCAACAACAACAACAACAACAACAACAGGCGATCTACGTGAGAGAGATGCTGATGGGCTGTTGGACCGATTTTGTCAGAGGAGACAATGCGGAGGTCCACATCCTCAACCTGATGTGGACCACGGTAAGACTGTCTGAGTTGCACAAAACTGAGATTACGTATGAGCAAACCCGAACAAGTCAACCATTATGCCAGTATTTTGGACAGAAAGGTCTTATAAACAGCTCAATCAATCTGTGAAATAGATTTAAAATTCAGTCAGCAGGTGAATAAAAGATTATTATTGCTATATTGAAACCTTGCGTCAGAAAAATGAAATCTATATTTGCTGCAGCTTAAGCCGATTCGTGTTGTGGTAGTTGGAGGTTTTCATCAAACAGCAAAGAAAAAAAGGAAAAAAAAAACTGTATTTAACTTTAAAATTCCAAATATTTAATTTAAACTTTTGTTTTCATCGTAAAAATAAAAATAAAATGAAATCTTCTTAGGATTAAAATAAAAACAAAAATACTAGCAAATGAGACATTTTCTTCTGTTTACCTCAACTGTAATGACACATGAATATTGTTACCACAAATTAAAGACAAACGAACAAGATCTTATAAGAAATAGTAGCATGTGTGTCAGACTGACTTCATTTTTGTAAGTGGGATCTCTGAAAGATTTGCCTGTACTCGCCTTGTACAAGCGGAGCTCTGGAGAGTGTCAGAATAAGAGTGTATAAGCAAACCTTTTTTTTTTTTTTTGCTAGTCGGTCATTGGTCAGATGGTCAACCATCCCCACATGAAAGAGGTTTAAGGAGAACAATGGATCTAAAAGTCACGCTTTAGGAAGGGATACCCTGAGAGAATCTATGCAAACCCAAAGAAGAAAAACAAGCTCAGACCCTTCTTGCTACATGGCAACTGCGTTGTCCGCTGTTTCACTAAGTGCGACCGCAAAATAAAAACTATGTGTATTAAAACCACTATCAGTAATGACCCACTTCCACATTGTTCCAGCATGGAGACGCATATGCCGTAATACCCACTCCCTTTTCCCCTCATTCTCTCAATAAACCTTGATGTAAGTGGGTTCAGCTTTTTCCATTGCATTATTAAAATACATAGAAATACAGCACAGTTGAAGTTTGCTTATATCCTTGGTGGCCTCAAATAAATGAACAGATAGGGAATAAATATCACATCTTTTACAATTCTTTTTTTTTAAAGAGTACCCCAAGTACACTAAGCGCAGAGGTTTATCAGTAAATTTTGTTGCATATGACATGGTATCCATGACACATTAACATAGGGACATCGCAATATGTCTCCATGTTGTCATACTGAGATGTTTTCTTAAAATGTAATCTAGTTTTGTTATTCAATAAAAAAGAAAAGCTAAACTAAGATATTAATTAGGTCCATTATACACAGGGGATATATTTCAACCTTAGTTTAAGTGCATTCACTTAATTTTGATAGGATCATAACATTTGATTTTAGCTTAGAACAGCAAATGAAGTCTCAAAGCATCTTCAGCGTCTTGGACAATTGTCAGGGCATAGAAAAAATAGCTTTTAATACAAACATGTTGGAAAGGTTTTTCCATTTAGAACACAGAATATGCATTCTATACTTAGTTTGTCCTCATTTTGCATGAATTATTGCATCAATGCGGCGTGGGATGAAGGCAATAAGCCTGTGCCTCAGGTGTCATGGTAACCGAGGTTGCTTTTGAAATTTATAGTCACATAACTTTTTTTTTTTTTTTTTTTTTCAATTTTTTTATGACACTTCATAGATTCCTCTCGACGCCATCACAGAATTGTTAGACTTTTGATGTATAAAGAAAAGACATGGAAGCCTTTTGTTGTTCGCAAATGCACAGTGACCTGTCAGGTTAATAACTGCTTCTTGACTCGGTGCATTTTGGCTCGCTTGTCACAACATAATGAGCTCAGATGTAATCAAAGATAGCTTTTGTCGAATTAGTCTGCTCTTGGTCAAATCTGTGGCTCTGTGTTATGTACAGAGGTTTATTCCAGTTCAAAATGAGCAGCTGAGCCACGCGATGTGATAAGCTGATAAACTCAACACTGACAGTTTGATGTTGCCCAGGAGGAATAAAATGAATGCTAATAATGTTCAAACAGGAGCTTATAGGGAAGCTGCTGCAGCTAAACTTGCAGACCAAGGCTGCAAGATGAAAAAAAAAAATGATTGAATTATAATGAAACATGCTTTTTGTTCAAACACATTTGACTCAATGTGCTGCACACAAACTAATCCTCATGTTGAAATGAGTCCACAAACTATGCCCTGACATCTGACATCATAAAATATAACGCACAGAGTTTCACTCCATATCCAGCGCTATCAGGCAGATAGTGGAGACATTTTTCAGGCACTAGAAATGACTGCAGATTTTCTCAACACGCCGGCGCTTTTCTGACCTCTTTAACTGATAGTCGACTTAATTTGGCTGCATTTTTTATTTTTTTTAAGTCTTTTTTTTTTTTTTTTTTTTAAGAGATGTCCCTGCTAAAAGTAAAAACACACAAAATAAGTGTTGACAGCAAACTGGGGCAATTTGATTTTTAAGCAATTCTTTAAAGAATGACATTGAGAACTTACTTCAGAAAACTTTTAATCTATGTGCAGTTATTGCTCTGCTAGAGCACATTTTTCACTGTCCGGTGTTGTCGGTCAGCTCACATTATTCATTCCTTTATCAGCGAGTTGTTTGTACTATATATGGGACTTCCATTTAACCTTTGTTAAACTGCTGTTTGGTATTTTTAGTTTAGTTTTTCAGGGTTTATATTCAGTTTTCTCACATGGATTGAAGCAGCTCTCTTCATTCTGCCTATGATGGTGCAATACTGTGTAATCTCATTAATCCATTTTATCTGTTAAATCATTGCAGGGATCTTTCCCTCAGATGCCTCTTGGAAAACCTGAAAGATTATTTCTTAACTAAAAAAATGTGCTGCAGTTGATAATCAGTGCGGTAAGCTAGGCATTGCATTTTACAGTAACTATTTTGGCTGTAATGATAGGTCCGTACAAGGTTTATTTACCAACTTAGTTTCAACATGTTGCAAATGGGCTGAAAATGCATCCTGATGATGGAACACATTTAAAAGATTTATAGAAAGACTTTTCCTCTCAGTCATTGGATGTCAGAACAAGAAAAGAGGCATTTTAGAATACTTAATTTTAGTGTGGGGGGTTAACACGTTTCAACAACAAATAAGTCCTAGTAATGCAGATGACATAATAGAGAGCTATCGTATTTTTTTTTCTCAAATCGGACTAAAACTGAATCCTGTTCCATGATGTCCTCATTATAAGTAAATACAACCCCATCTTAGTCATTTTTGAAAGGTAACTGAGCAAAATCCTTCTTCAGAAGTAAGATTTTCTGGGACACGTTGGCAACTCTGCCTCTTCAGTTCTTGAACTGTTAATTAACTGTGATTAACCAGATGTTTATGGTTCAATCTCCTAAGTTTGTGAAGTGGCAGAGTTCTTTTTTTTTTTCCAACAGTGACATATTGACATATCATCTGTTTAGGTACAATGAATTGGCAAAAGCTAACAACTTATTCTTTAAGAAGTATCTCATTTTATTAAATATATTTTAGGGGCCAAACTCTGACTTTGAGATTATAGGGGCCATTTGGCCTTGATGGATGGATAGATGGGTGGAGGAATGGATTTGTCTTTGGAGTTGATGTTTTATCAAGTGAAATATATACTAAATTAGTCAAACTCTTATCTAATCTTTTAAAAAAAGAAAAAAAAATGCAGCAAACACACAAAAAAAATGGCTAAAACTGTACAGTAGGCAGGGATCTTTACACTCCCTACACCTTTCTTTGTCCTTTAAAGTTCCTTATCACCTCCTTCCTCATCCTTTTATTTTCTTATTGATTTACAACCCACCCGGGAATATTTGACTATCACAGTTTGACCACACTGCTGAATTATAGCAGAAGCATCAAGCGGCTACACAAGCCAGCAGAATGTGCTGGGAGGTGTTGCCTGTGTGCTGGACCCATTGATGTCACACACTGGCTCGGTGTCTTGGCTCCAGGCCGAGACTAGACCAATGGAGCCGACACAACTTAGGGGAGAGAGAGCCAAAAGAATAACTGGAAACTGCATCAGCAAAGGCCCTTGAAAAAAAAAAAAGAGAGAGAGAAAGGATTCAGAGAAAAACAATTGTATCCTGAAAGCTTAGGAACAAAAGCAGCAAAAGGTGAGTGATCTGGGTCAAAGTTCAAGAACAAAGTCACAAAACTAGGCTGCAAAACAATGAAGCTCATTAGAAAGGAGTATTTAAAGAAAACATCACCGAGGTGTCTCTGTATGAGGTGCAGTGGCTCTGCAGGAAATGCCATTCATTCATTTACTGCATGCAGATGTAACACGACTGAAGTAAATCCTCAGAGGTATTTCTTGGCAGATGCCGCGCTGCTGCGCCACACAACTCTTTAGTTCAGGCTCATGTTTGAATAACAACTGAGTTTTTTTTTTTCTTTCTTTTCGGTAACTCTTCAGGGCAATCTATCTGTCATCTTTGGCTACAATAAATATTCTGCACCGTAGACGGAGGACTTACCAAAACACGATTTCCTCTGACTCTTTATTACCTCGGCCATGTTCATGCCGCATCGTATGCATTATACATGTGCAGGTGTGGGCACATGGAAATATTTTAAGGCTTTATGCTCCTGTGCCCCATAAGCAAGCTATGCTATGGAGTAATCTGTCAAAGTTTTCAAACAACTTTAAATGTTTTGGTTAGTTTATTTCTGATTCATATTCTGTTACTTTACTGAAGTGTTTCATTTATATCTCCTTTCCCTGGAAATTTGAGATTCCATATCAATATCTCTTGAATTGGCTTCATCTTTCAAGAAAAGGACATGTTGCCATGGCATCTTCTGCCTTTTGTTTAAAGGCATTTAAAGAAAGCAGTATTATTTTTTCATAAAACAAATTTCTCTTTCTCATTGTTCCAACCACTACTATACTAATTGTAAAAAAAAAAAAAAAAAAAAACATTTCCAGTTTGAGCTGTGTAATGGTTTCAGACAGTCGGAGGGGGAAACAGTGAAGACAATCCTTGTTTATAAGTGACCAAGATGTTCATAAACTCAGGAGCAAATGCTGACATATGCACAGCCTTTTTTTTTTTTTTCCCCTGAGAGGGAACTGAAACCATTAATTTGATGCACTCATTACTCCAGTCCCACTATGCACAAAACACTGTTAGTGTATGTCTGTATGCATGCATGCAGGATAACACCTCCTTCCGTCTGTTAACTCTCGGCTTGCAAACAGCTCCCTCAAAATGCATCTGCGTCTGGCTCACAGGCAATTTGACTTCAGTCTCCTTAGGCCTAATTTGCTCCGCAGGCGCCCAAAAATCTGCGTAGCTCGTAACAATTGTCTTAGTTTCTGTTCTGGCGATGTCAGGCAGCGAGTAAATAAATTCAATAGAAGGGTTTCATGCTGTGTCCTCAATGTGTTGATTGTCTGAACAACAGTCCTGGTCTTATAATAAACATATTTTCAAAAAGTGGAGCTTTAGGTTATCAAAGGTGGACAAAGGGAAAGATTTGAATTCATGAAAGTAACTTATTTTTTTAAAAAAATCACTCTGAAGAGATGCTTTCGAGGATTTTTATTTTTTTTTTACACTTCCTCTTCTTTTTCATCAAGCTGAGATTTAATGTTGAACTGATTACAAATGAATAGAAAAGAAATAAAAACCCAAATCTTTCACTTCTCCTAAATCCAATTATCTTTTGCCTCTTAAAGAAGTAAAAGTAATTAGAACTCGGATTTATTGGTGTTAAGTTGGATGGGAAATATATATCTCTAAACTCCAATTTATTATTCCGCCACCACTCAGCGCCATTTGCATCCATAAAACTCAGCAGTTCCAGCTTTACCCCACGCACATGTGGAGCATAGTAATTAAGGCTGATTCATAGAGTGACGGTAGTGGTGATTAGCAAATCACATCACCATTATGTTACAATGGATAAAATACAGCTGATGAGACATTACATTATGTGGTAAATTATGTTAAGGGGTTTTATATTCTGCACAGTTCCGATGAGACTAGACATGTATGGGAGGACCGGTTGAAATGTATGGCATGATAGTGAAAACATAGAAGTTTTCTACAAATGCTTACATTGTGCCAATAATTTGGCTGCACATTATATAAATTATAAAAAAAATAAATAAAATAAAAATTACAGCTCATTGCACAACGAGGAAAATAATTACCTTTTCCCCCTTTGTACAGCACAGAGGTGTAATAACACGGCAAAGCTGCATTACCTCATTTTACGTCTGCATCAATACAAAAGCAGACGGGAGAGAAAGCTTTCATGCCCCCACCAAATATAAGCCCCTCTCATATGACTGGCACTGCTTTTTCAGCCGAGAGAAGCATGTGGTGACATTTCAGAGCTCAGCCGCAAAAACCAGGAGGGATTGTCACGTCCCTCACTGATTTGTAGTCGCAGAGAAAAGGAATCAAAATTTTACCGAATTAAACTACCCTACCGTTGGCGGGGGGTGGGGTATTTTTAAACTTGGCGCAGCAAGCACAATACGTCCCATCGACGCTGTCAACTTGATGTCTGGTAATTTAAGGGCAGATCGGGAGGTTTGCAAATGAGGGAGAGGTGTTGGACAAAAAAAAAATAAAATAAAATAAAGAAAGTCAAATTGTGGTGTAGCAAAGAGAAAAAAAAAGTAATAATACACACACACACATTTTAAGTTGAGCAGAATTTGAATTCTAATAACTTTAACAATAGGTATGTAATTGTGTGCCATGATATTCCAATTGTAAATAGTCAAATGAACTCAAATGTGTCACTGTCTATTTTTGTCTTGCCAGGATATTACATACTTCAGTCTGAACATTTCAAGACCAGCGATTCTCATCATTTCATCCTCAAAACCGGCTTATGCGAACTGCGACCTCTGCGAAGACGTGAAAGTTTATGTGAGTAGCACCGCTGAGTCTTTCTATATGTCCGTCATGTTTGTATTTCTCTTGGAAACATTTCAGCGTGTGATATCTGTTGATTTATTGGTGTTTCTCAAAAACCTATTTCAACCTAAGTTTTTTACGACCCCACTCTTTATTCTGTTTGTATTTTATGTCAGAAGCCAGCACAAATCAGGGAATATTCGAAAGTGGAGGTACAGTTTTACTGAGAAGTGTGATATGCAATTTTATCCTGTCCCCATGATATGTTGTGGGACTTCCTTGGCAGTTACAGATAGTTGTCATTAGTCGTACATCTCCACCAGCTTTGCACATCTACAGATTGAAATATTTTGCATTCTTTTTTTGCAAAATAGTTTGACAAATCTGACGGGACACAGTAAGTCATCTTTAGATTATTCTAACACATGGATATAGATGGGTCTAAACCATTATATGAATAAATTCACGGGGTTTGAATACTTTTGCCTTGGACTGTAGATCATGTGGGTCTGTTTAGCAAATATTATGCTGCTGTTGAAACACTAATACTGCATTGAACGTCTTTTATTTCATTACTGTGGGAGTTTTTTTTTTTTTTCTTTCCTGTGTTAAAAGTCTAGTGCCAACTGCTTTACATACAGTAAAAATGACACAACTTTGCAGTTCTCTGAGTCTTTTGGAAGACTGAGACCACTTTGATTTTTTTTTTTTTTTTCTGGATATTCCCCAATGGCTTGCTCTGTGAGAAGCAGTTTTTGTTTTAGTGCTTTAATTAGCCACACTATAAAACCAACAAGTAGCCAGTAACTAGAAGGGATGACGGTATTGACTATAAAATTAATGTACCAGTAAATGGTAGTTCCAGACTTTTATACACTGATCACATTTTTTTTAAGTGCATGAATTGAGCTGCCAAAATAATCAGATGTAGGTGTAAAGAGTGAAATAACATTGCAAAACAAGCAAAGTGTTTTACTGGTGAATTCTAGTCTGATAATGACGGGAATGTTTAAACGTTTACAATCATGAAAGAAAATTAGCATGCCACTGTTTATCTGTTTTTCTTACACCAACATATACATTTAAGCTATACACATTTTTATACAATCTATAGAGGAGCTCGATTTTAGTCACAGTACGTCCACTTTATGTTGCACTTCCAGAGCATAGTAACCATTTTAACAATTATATAAACAACACATTTTACCTACTGCAGCCTTAACATGTATCTTAATTCATAATGAAGATACTATAACTTTTAGTTTAGTTTATTTACATGGTGCCAGCCGACCACGCATGTTGTCTCACGACACTGAAAAGGAAATTTCATCAAATCATACAGAGAGATAGATTTAAATTCATCCTAATTACCAAACAAGCCTGCCAACTTCAGGTTATTATCTATTTAAACAAATAGAAAAGTTTCCATTTCCAGAAACCCAGCAGATTTCATCGAGTCACTGCCCTACAGCATTCACTCCTCCTGGATGAGTATGTTCCGCCGATGTTGGACACTTGCTCGCATTTGCTGCAATCCTTCATCCTAAGCATGCATGTAGTGATAGTGGAAGGGAAAGCAGCTCTTGAACAGAAAGCCTGAAGACTCCTCAACACTCAGTAGACGTTTCTTATGATCTCTTCGGTCTTTTAAAAACTAACACTTTACACTTTAATTTGAAGTTTCAAGCAGTTTGTCCTCGTTCGCTCTTTGCGTGTTCACAGAAGCTCTCTCGCAGTCTTGAAAAATATTTCCCAGCATTGTGAACATTGTGCAGACACACTGAAGACATCGCATATGTGTAAATTAAGTGGAATAACAGCTGTCCAATCAATGCGATGACACGCTTGCAGGCGTGCCAACAATTACTGATATGCTGACAGCAGCATGGTACCACATCCTGTATCGTGTCCTGTCAGGAGCCTGGACAACATTCCCTGTGACGGCAGGATGTTGTTGTGAGATGAGCTCTATCACTGGGGGATAATAGCGCTTTGCAGCAGATTGCATTGTAAGAGAATAAACATCTGTTCTGCATCCGAGAAAGTACGTCAGCAGCTTGACAGCATGTCTCGGTGTCACAGCTCCTCTCGGCCTCCCGAGGCTGGCGCCAACACTCAAGGTTGTTTAAAAAGCCAGTAGAATGGTGGCTTTTTTTTTTATTTTTATTTTTTTCCCGAAGTCTTGTGAGCAGTCGTGTTTTCTGTAAATAACAGTTCAGTGGTTGTCAAAGTGAGTTATTCTCATTTCATTCTTTATGGGGAAATATGATTGGACTCCTACACTTGTGTGTTACAAGTAAATCAGTTTTTATGTCGCCTGTCGTGTGGAACCGAACATGTACAAAACATTACTCATGACTAATGCGAAAACAATTAAAAGATCAGTTGTTTCTGTCATTCCCATTAGACACCGGTCCTGTTTTTGGCTATTGCTTTCAAAATCTATGGTAGCATGTAGAATACTGCTGACACTAATGTGATTCAATTTCCATGACATTAGGCTTTTTTTTTTCTTTTTTTTTTTTTTACCTTTTTCTTCATGTCTTCGTTTTGACAACTCCTCCATCTGCTTGTTTCTGTTGTGAATTCCTCTCCTGCTTTTTAATGTTTGCAGTTTCTTTCCACACTATTTTTGATCTTATCAATCAAATATTTATGTAGAAAGAGATACGACTCCCTCTGGCACCCTCGACTTACAGCATTTGTTCTGAATTTGGGACGCAAAGGCATGCACACAAACCCGCATCCGCAGGCCGGGATAAAGATTTCTAGAAATTTAGAAAATAGACGCTTAGAAAGGAAAACGCAGTGACATTACAGGTGTTTCATTAAGCATCTTTTTAATTCTTAACAAATTTCCTCCTGAGAGATAGAAACATTTCTAGCCTTTTGAAACCCTTCTCCAAGCGTCAGACTGAGGAGGTTGTAGTTGTTGAGGTAGGATCTGATATGCATTATGCATTCAAACCCTTGAACAAAAGAGAAGCAACTCAGAATTTTATTATTTAGTTGAAAGAGATTTTTTAATGCACCGAGACACTTGTAACACTCGGAAGGCATTGCTGCTCTCAGCATTCTGGAAGCATCAGTCCAATTTAGACACTATCCACCCCACATTTCTGCTGCTGTTCACTAATCCGCGAGTTTGCATGTTGGGTCCACTAAACCCAACATGCAAATTTCTTTACTTCCCATTCGTCCAGACAAGGAAACGGCAGTGTCTAGTCAATGAGATGGATGTATATATTTATACCTTGTATGGAGCCAGATTCCAGCCGACTATGGTGACGCACAAAACTAAAAAAGGTCCCATTTCCTGGCCCCACTCAGGAAGCAAAGGAAAGACCTTGGCTCCAAAGAGGTTGTGCAACTCGGCTCGTGGTCACTTAGCCATAATAAACATTTCTCTTTCATAGCCCGGCTCAGAGAATAGAGGGAGAGTTTGGTGAAGGATAAGAAAAAGGAGCGGAGGGGAATGACAAAGGAACATGATGAGAAGAAAGGCATTGATCCAGCCCTGTGTTTTCTGCAGTTAACGAAATGCTGTGTTTGTTTTGTGTTTCACAGGTAAATAATTCCACAATTACACTGACCAGTAAACCTCAGAACAATGTCTACAAAGAAGAAATGCCCCATCAAAACGAGGAGCTGATCACGTGGGCAAAGCAGAAATTTGGCGGTGTGACTTCATTCACTACTGTTAAAAATCCTGAACAAATCACACTAATAGAAGCACAAGGTAAGAAAAACGTTGTTTAACTTTGCTTGGGTTAACAAAGAGCTTTTCTTGCCAGTGTAGAGGCTTGTCAGGAAATTTGTCCAATGCATACGTATGAATTATATAATGATAGGATGTATAAAAACCCCTCAGTGCAGCATTAAAAACCAAATAAAGAAATCCTGCTGACAATTCACTAGCTAAAGATCCAGACTGGCACCAAAATTCTGGCCTGTCACTCAGCAGGTAAAAAGGTAGAGTAGTCAGCGTCTCGAGGGAAAATCATCAGACCGATTCTTAATCACCTCAGCGATGTCCGTTAAAGTGACCTCGGGTTCCCCTGCGACCTTACAGTTTGTCTCCTTCATGGAGACATGTCCGGTGTGTTTTGTCAGCAACAGTCCAATCAGCAGCTGCAATTTGTTCCAAAGTGAAACGCCCCTTAACAGGCTGAACCGAATCGCTTTACCTCCGACAAAGTCTCTGAGTTTATTATTACAAATGCACTGACGTCATAGAGATGCTGTGGAAAATAATTGACAAAAACAGTCAAATGTTATCAGTGGGGAACATGCAGTCACTACGCGCTACGTATCCAGAGCATTTAGAGGGAGAAAATGGAAGATTAAAAAGAACAGCCCGCCTTCAAAGTTAATCAAATTATGAACACCTTACAAGGGTTAAAAGGAAATAAGATTAGTTGTTTTTTTTTTTTTTCTTGTCCATGTTGTAAAGTGTCTAATCAAATATAGCAACATTGTCTGAAACCTTTTACCTGAACAACACTCTCATTAAGACCTACTACTTTAACTACTTTAACCTCTGTGACACATAGATTTAGTGTTCTTCTTTGTGGTAACCATCGACTTGCTCATTACTTTGCACAGTGCCTATGTTTTAAACTTGACTTTCCATTAAAACGCTGTATTACTCAATGATCAATGATGAGCTGTGATTTGTTTGTTTGTAGGAACTAAACCTACCAGCATACCTACAGCTAGTCCTACGGATTGTGTACTTACCAACGAAGACATCTCAGAAAAGCACTTTATGAAGATTGACATGGTTCCAGATAGGATCATGTCTTGTGCACTGAAATCACAAAACCCAGACGATAAGGAGATACATGTCATAAACATTCCAGACAGTTCTCCCGTTCGGTAACCTTTATATTTTTAAGAAACAGAATTTTATGTTCCTCAATTTTTACCAAATATTTTTTTCGTAATCCTCTTTTTTTTCTCTCTCTCCCTCTCTCCACATGGCAGCAATGTATCCTTGCTCGTTAAAACTCAGGGCATTTCTTTCTTCCTGAGAGGTCCTCAGGGCACCACATGGACCTTCCTCAACATGGGCTTTTCGAAGCTTGGCGTAAGTTTCCATGTTATGTGTATACCTTTTAGAAAATGTCAGTATAATGGAATTCATTCTAAAACAAATTTCTGTCCGACTCAAAACAATCAAATTGATTGTATTAGTGAACAATTTCTAGGCTTTCTGAAGTTCCTTTTGTTATTTGGCACTTGTCAAGTACTTGCTGTGATATATTTATTAAGAATTTATTTTTATTGTCTTCTTTTCTTATAGTCTAACAACGACGTCCAGATACAAGGTTTCGAAAATAAGGTTACACTACCTAAATATAATGGTACAGTGACAGGTGACAAAGCAGAGGTTGTGCAGAAAATGGCTTTGGAATATTTTAAAGTCAGTTATTTCACCAGCTACAGTGAAATAACACTGGACTCATCAACCATTTCTCTAGTGATTGAAAAACAACACAATTTACCAGGTATGACTTTTAGTTTTCTTTCTTATCAGAGAAAAATAAGCTGTAAAGAAATGCAGAAAGTAGATGCACAAAGCTGGGAAGCAAATGTTGCACTATTGATAGACATTGCAAATGTTGCTTTTGTTTTATTTCTAGAGAGATTTCCTTCAGTCAGAGAAGAAATGGCAAAAAGTATGATTACCAAAACAACTGATGCCCCGAATCAGATGTTCCTGAACATCCATCTGTACGCCTCCCCAGACTATCGCTTTCCCTTAGACCCTTTAGCCAGATTGCAGACTAACAAGAGAATCTACGCACTGGTAAGGATTTATTTACGATTTTTCTGATCACCCAAATCACATTATTTTACAAGCCACATTTACCCACTCATGCCATGTATTATTTTTCTATTTTAATAACCGCTTTGTTTTACAAATACACTCACACATCAATTGACATATAGCAGAGATCATCAGCGTGTTAAACTTGGTACCAACCTTGATGTTTAGCAAACAGTCCAGTTGTGACAGTGAATGAAAAGCAGCAAACATGACACTGTTAAGAAAATAAAAGAAGAAGCAGAAGAAAAAAAAAAGTCTCTAATTTACAGCTAAATACCGGCAGCTGTGGCGGTAAAATTCATATTTATATGGATTTTACAGTGGCTGGTATTTTACCGTAAATTACATATATTCATTTATTTATTTATTTATTTTATTTTTTATAGCGCAACCATTGACTGAATATCATTCCTAAAATGTCACAACAGGTTGCTACTTTGTAATCACTGAGCAATTCACCATATAAAATTTGACCAATCATGTATCATTGTGAAAATGTATTGATCTCCTTAATTTTTTTTTAATGTAATTTATATATTTCATCTGTTTTTGGTTCTTTTAAATCTTTTATGTTTCAGATCACTGAACAAAATGTTAGTATCAAACAAAAAAAAAAAAGTAGTTTTCAAATATTGATGCACAGTGTGAAAAAGCCATTGCCCCCATTATCAAATAATTTATTAGCGGTGAATAAACTCATATTTTTAATTTAACTTCACTTCTTCTCCAAGCTGGGCTATTGTTAGACTTGTATAATCAAGAAATAACAAACGAGAAACCGTCATCAACATGTATTAACATCTGTCAATGTGGAAGGGGTTTCAATGCCTCTTCCCAGGGCTTTACTAGGACATTTACTGGGGCTTTAAAATATATATTCAAAATGTTTCTCACAAAACAGAATCAGTAACTAAACCCTCAGCAATAGTGTATGGAGAAAACTCTGTAGACTATTGTTGTGGCTACATTGTATGAGTGAACCAAAGTTTCGCTCTGCTTAGACAGGGTCACTCCATCTGCTTCATATGCCAGGCTTATTTTAGTTTCACCTGGGTTTAGTCTGCGCCTGCTAGCAGCCACATCGTCATTCTTGTGGACTATTTTTGTTGAAGCACGTGATGTTGTGATTAATTTATGTCTGCTTTACTCTTCCTCAGCCAATCAGTAGCACATTCTTCTTCCCCTTAGCTCCTGGTCTAGTGCCTTTGCCTTCTCTGTGTTGAATTAAAGTAACCTGCCACATTTTTACGTAAAGGGAAGACCATTGTAACGATGGGAAAAGTAATTTGTTAGATTACTCATTACTGAAAAAAAGTACTGGCGTTAGTAACGCCATTTGTTTTTTATGCCATTCTTTGCATCACTGCAAATGGAGAACAGGGAACAGAAGTAAATATAATCAGGAGGGTAAGGAGACCAAAATTACTTTAAGAGTGCTTAGACGATTCATCCAGGAGATCACAAAACGAAATCTCTAGAAGCATCTCTTGCTTACATTTTATTAAAAGTTGTGTTGCTTCCCTGCAGTTTATTTAATATCGTCTTTGTTCCTTATAGATATCTACGAACACCATAGGTGACATAAAAATTGCCCTCAAGGTGATTGGCTGCACCATAAGGCCCAAGGCCTCGTCCTCTGCAGAGAAAGAGCTCCCGATCTTCTTGGAGTCCTGCGCTGCTGACCCCTGTCACAACAGCGCGCGGCTCAGCTTCTCCTTAGATCAGATGCCAGAGGGAACATCCAGCACATGGGTCCTACAATGCTCTGTCAAGCTATGCTTCTCTGACAAGTCATATCAGATGGAGGAGGTATTTCACAACGGCTTTTTCGACAAAACAACATATATTTTCAGTTGGCAGAGGCACAAAACATTCTGCATATTATACAGGAGTATCTCAGTTTCAGCTTAGACGTATTTACATCTAAAGTGGTTTTGAATAATCGTTTATTAGGGCCTGAGAAATTATTGAAAATATTACCATAATCATAAATGATTTATTTTTATTTTTTTCATACTATGAGGGGAATATTTCACCAGCTTTGCCTGAAGCGTGGTAACTGTGGAAATTCCCTGGTGGATTCTCCTTTTATTTGCTTTGCCCTTATGTTTTGTTCACTCCTTTGGTATTCTGCATTGTCTTTGCGGGTTTTTTTTGGTTTTCAGCTTTGCAAGTGAAAAGCAGCATTATAGCAATGACATTGTATTATTGATGTGCTCGATGCAAAATGCTATACTGTGTTGTTATATCATCATCCCTAGTTTGTCTATGGTGATTGTCGAAGTAGTATAAAATACTGTCCGGTCACATTTGCTGGAAAAAAGTTTTTCAGCTCATTTCCTGAAAAAGGAAATTTTTTTAAAGTTATTTTTCTGTTTCACTCACAGGTCTGTGAGGACAAAGTGAGGACAGCAGAGAAGAATCTGGAGATTATGCAGTCATGCCAACCACAGGGTGAGAGAAGTTATTTATTAATTTAATTTATTTTTTAAAAAATTACCTTGATGTTCATTTTCATAAATTATCTGTTTCATAGTAACAAACTTGTCAAACTCCTACACAAATAATCATAACATTTAATTTACCTTTCATGCCTCCTGGACTAAACTGCTAGTCAGTCAGTCAGCTAGTAATTGAGTAATACTATGTGCTGACATTTTTTCCTATTATAGCACTATTTGTGCACAACGCTGCCTGGGCTGATTGTCATAGCAGCGAACACAGGATATTCAATGAAGCCAGTGAGCGGCGGTAGGGCAGGGCCTCGTCCTTTAGGAAGGTCTGCAGGCTGACCTTGTGGCCACAGTCACACGTAACAGCCCTCAGGGGGAATCAGTGGCAGGCGGGTGGGTGGGCTAAAATCCTTTGTGCTTCCAAAAAGTCTGACTATTCAGATGTCCAGACACATTGGTGAGCTTCGAGCCATTAAAGGACTGATGAACATTTTTGTCTCAAAGAGGGATGTGTTTCTCTCAAGATGAGAGAAGCAAAATCTGTGACTAGAAAAATATTAAGGAAATTAATGGCGTTAGATTGAATTTTGTAGCAGCTCAGTAATATAGCACTCTATGTTTTATCAGCAGTACGACTCACTGCAAAGTAACATTCCAGATGCTGTAGTCATTTTTTTCTTCTTCTAATTCTTCTGTTTCATTGTAATTCATAAAGTTTTCCTTGAAAAAGCAAATCTGCAAATCAGTTTTCTAAATTAATTTGTTGGTTCATTCGTTCCTTTAGTCATTAGCTCTCTTCACACATTTTACACACCTTGTTAAATGTAAAAAAAATAAATAAAAAGATATCCTAACAGAACCTCTCAGAATTGTGTGGGTGTGTACTTTCACACAAGCCCAATATGTCAGAATGAACTTAGTAACAACACTCTCTTTTAAATGCAAACCACATGTGCCACCATTCTCTTCACACTTATCCGAGTTTGGCTGCACAATTCAGATGAAATCGATTAATTTGGTTACTACATGTCACTGAAGGTGCCAAAATTGTGAAGAAACAAACAAAAAAGAACTTTTTCTTCAAACTTTGTAAGTCTGACAAACCTTTTCATGGAGTCCAGTTTATTATGACAAAGATAGAATAATTACTATAAATAAGCATAACTAGCAGGCGTCATTGTTTTCCGAGTCTTTATCAAGCGGCAGCGACCGCTCCATTCAGCAATCCTTCCTGTTTGCTGATTTTCATACCAGGGGCAGGGAGTCATGGCGCAGGCCTGATGTCCCTCCATACCTCCCCACCTGCACTGCAGCTTCTGTTTCCTGCAACTGTTTATTCAGCTTTGCTGTCAAAGGCTCACTTATACAAACTAACACTGCCAGTGATTGGAGAAAACAAGTCTCTGAGGAAGGCCGTCTCAAGACGCTGTGATGTTTCTTCCCAATTCAGAGACAAGGAATGTTCCTTTGTAATCTAACATCAACAAACGAGGTTGGGATGCAGTCGGTATGTACGGCCACCAGATGTCACCGTTTCAGTGCCCTGGGAGCAATTTAAGGTTGACTGTTAAGTGTTTTTTGTTTGAACAGAAGCAGCTTTACGCTTTGCGATTAATACACAAATGTTAAATGAACAACATAGTGTATATATTAGATGCTTCAGAGTGCTTTTATTTCTACCTTAAGGTTTTCTGCTAATAGAAACAAGTGACTCCATCGTCTCACTCCGTCATACTTTTCTCAGTGCTTCAGCTTAAATTCACCTACTGTGTCAGGTAGTTTATGTTTCAACAAAAAAACTTTTTTTTTTTTTTTTTTTTTTTTTTTTTTTTCCCCGTGGGACCCCTTTAAGAGAATTTAAAAAACAAGGGGGTTGGGTTTGTTCTCTCTTTTTTC